TTTGTCTTTTGTCATCAGAGAAAGTCTAGGCGGTACTATCCCACCAGACTGGCCATCACTCTGGCTGCAGGAGTGACTACCAGCTCCTCTTCCTCTTCCTCCTCTAACTTGGCTTCCACTCCTGCCACTGGAGATGCAGGCTTCATCGTGGTAGAAACCAATTATCGTATCTACGCCTACACAAGTATGTCTAATCACTGGAAGATTTTGTTCTGCATGGTAACACTAATAAAATCATTTTACACAGTGGAAGTCTCTGTTCATATGAGATCATTGTTGTGAAGGCTGGGAGACTTGTATATTGGATTATGGCCACACCAGCTGGCTGTGGTTTTCTCCTGTCTGTTCTGATGCATTGCACATAACTGAACAACACCACACTGCACCACATATCATTAAAACCAGTGACTACCACCCATCTTTCTGGAAAACTGCTTATTGGTGTTCTTTCTGAGAGTGAGATGTTCAGATGGATATCAATCTCGTGTCTGTGTGTTAAGTACAGAACTNNGGTTAGCCTAGCTTAGCGTAAAGATATACCTACCAACACCTCTAACCATAATTCAGTTTCTCAGTTCATTGATCCCATTTCCTTGTTTGAAGATGCTTTACATTGCAGCTTTTGAACGGATGGACAATTGTCCATCCGTTCAAATGATGGCATTACCTCACGGGACTGTACTGACTCCTTTGTGTGTACTTCCCAGACTCAGAACTTCAAATCGCCCTGGTGGCCCTCTTCAGTGAAATGCTGTATCGCTTCCCTAATGTAGTGGTGGCTCAGGTTACAAGGGAGTCAGTGCAACAGGCCATCGCCAATGGCATCACTGCACAACAGGTACTCAACTACTGTATGCACTCTTCTACCACAGGGGATATAGGGTGAAATCCTGACCTATGGGAAGGCAATATGGCCAAAATCTTCTATGACGATATGTCATTTTATATCACGATAACTGTATATATTATGATACAGTAATTGTTCTGTAAATTAGAGCTGCAGTGATTAGTCAATGTAGTCACTTGAATTGCATTTAAAAAAGCCCTGATTTGTAATAAGTCTCTCTTACCCTCAAGATTATTCACTTTCTAAGGACCAGAGCTCACCCTGTCATGCTCAAACAGGTACTGTATCAACTCCGACCCTGTCTGTCCGACTCTCCGTTCTCACACTTAACTCTAATAATAATGACTGGTTCTCCTCCATCTCTGTGCTTCAGACCCCAGTCCTGCCTCCAACCATAACAGATCAGATCAGACTGTGGGAGCTAGAAAGAGATCGACTGCAGTTCACAGAGGGTAAGCATGCTTATTTTTCCGTGTGTGTGTGTGTGTGTGTACAAGCCTAAGGAATAGTCTGGAATTCATTGATGTTTATAGATGACAGGTCTTTTTGATCTAATTGCTAGTATTTAAGTAACACGTCTCCTTGTTTTCTGGTCTGCTCCTGTTCTAATCTGCTCCTCCGTGTTTACCTGTTGTCTTGATGAACTCAATATAATGTACATTTCCACAGTACTAATTCCTTCAGTATAACAGAATCATATCTTACTCACCACTCCTCTTTTAAACAAATACTGTTTTCAATGACTAATTAATTGCTGTTTGTCCCACTTTTGGCATGTTTTACATTAAAAGCCTACTAGTGGCTCAAAGGGCAAAATTCCTAGCTGTCCTGGTAGACTGTAACTATGAAACATCTGTAGGAAGGGCTGAGTTTTAGAAGCCATTGGAAGTAACAAGTGAAGAAAATAAGTATTGACGAAAAAAAAGAAAAACTTGTAGAATGTATATGCAGACTTTATATGTATGTAGTCCAACAAGACGAGCAGAGCGATGAGTCTGGAATTGAATCAAATCAAATTGATGGTGTCACCACAATTTCAGCAAAATCTCCCTGTTAAACTTTAATTTAAAATTTTCAGTTGTTTGTCTGACCTAAAAGACATCTACTATAAAATATCCCCAGGGACATCTGCTATAGAACAGTGACCACAACCTAGGGTCACAACACCAACAGGAACACCAGCAGTCTTATGAGCTTTGCAGTCTTTGCAGCAGCTGGTTCACCGTTCTCTGCTCGTTGTCCCTCACTCTCTCTCTCTTTGTCTGCTCTTCAGTTTGAAATAAAATAATTACCAAATATCCTGTAAATAATCTTTCATCATAATGTTGTCTTGGAAAAGTTTAATTGTATTTTAGCCCCTCAGTCACATTTGTTGTTGTAATTGATTGTTATTTCTACGTGCAACGAATACTTTCTGAATTTATTTTAATAGGCTAAAGGATAAGAAGATTAATTTTCTGTAAAATAAATTCTACCTGATTTGAACTCTTATTTATGCTCCACTGGAAAAATTGGCTGTAGTGAGAACATCCAAGCATGCCACGAAAGCAAGCTTGATGACACTGATTGTGAGCAAGTGCTGTCCTGTATTTTCAGAGGAAGGAGAAAAACTCCTGGAAAATGTCCAGAAAAAGTCCCAGAAAATTATTTCTGAAAGAGTGGGAACCCTGCAAACTCTTCCTGGCCGGCATTCCCGTTGACAGTAGCTTAAAAGCTTAAAAATGTTTTTAAAATGGCAAATACTGGAAATGGCTGGAAATAACTGGTGAATTATTTAAGTACTGGCTTTAATTTGGAACATTTCTTTGAATTTTCTGCTTCATGAACATTACAAAAAAACTGGAATCTAGAAACACTTGACTGACAGGAAGTGGGAAAGTGAATGTAGTGGAGCCTGAGATTGATTTCTCAGTCCATCTTCATTTGTCCTGTCTGAACTTTATGACCAACAGATGTTGGCTTGTTAATAGAGCTCAGTCAATAGAGCTGTCTGAGCTGCTGTACACTGTAATAGAGAGGATGAGTATCGAAGCTGTGCTGGCCTTTAACCTCATTAATCACCTGTCTGTCTTCAGGAGTGCTCTATAACCAGTTCCTCTCCCAGGCTGACTTTGAGGTGCTGCGAGACAGAGCTCAGGTAGGATTTTATCTCCACAACTGAATGTTATGTTTTGTAATCAAGATTATACATATATATGTATATACACTTAGTACTCTTACACAAAATAACGAAGACGGAGATATAAGTCAACAACAACAAAAAAAAGAAAACGTGGGTGGGGACAACCAGAACAGATCATCAGCCATGATAGTTGGATCTCATCCAGCAATGTCAAAAGAGATTTTCACATTTCCAATTCCCTTTGCTAAAATAAATCTGTTCATCTCAGGTGTTCTTCTGTTATGTGTGCTGTAATGACGATCCAGTAATCCCTGCAGGTGTAAACCACATGTTCAACACTAGCTCTAGAAAATTATCCTCCCCTCCCTATTCTTGACCTTTCCAACTCATGAAAGCTCTATCATCATTTAATGACATAATCAATAACTCCTTGCAGTTACAGCAGTCCCTGTTAAATGATCTTTTCCCTTTTTAAATGAATTCTCTGCTGGTGAGGGGCTCAGACTGTCCGTTCGTCCAGTAGTCTGCTGCTGTTTAACGTAGCTGTTGTGGTGCAGGGTCTGGGCTGCCTGGTGTGGCAGGACGTGGCTCACAGGGTGATGGTCGTGACGCCGCAGGGACATAGCGACGTCAAGAGGTTCTGGAAGCGACAGAAGTCCCACACGTAATGGAAAGAAGAGAAGAAGGCGCAGTGATTTCACACCTGATGACAGTTATTGCTCCAGTGTCAGGATTTTCCTGCTGCTACAGTTGTTCACTGCTGTAGGAGAATGGAGATGATATAACTATTTTGTCTGTTTCACAAAATGTTGACTTCTATGTATTTTGGATTAAATGGAGAAAATACATCTGCTCACTCCTCTTTCCTTTTTAAGTAGTTATGTCATTTTCAGATAAGCCAGTGATGAAATACTGTCTTTTATACTGTACATAAAAGAGCGGTCAATGAAACAATAGCAATATGTATCAACATCAATACCAATTAAAGCTGCAAGCAGCATTGGACGAGACCTCGCCATAGACCCATGTCTATGGCACGGCAGTCGCCTGCCGCAGCCATGCCACACCACATTGCCCCATGCCTAAACCCTCATCGCCGGAAGCCGAGGGAGACCTTTGTATGTCGTCACATGTTTCAGAAACCGTGCCAAAGACTTAAGCTTTCATAGAGAGACTCTTCAGTGCGAAAGGTTGAAATTCAGCGCCACTCCACGGACACACAGTTTGATGCATAGTAAATATTTGATTAACTTTTGATCACCAACGTGTCTACATTGTATTGATCGAATTTGAAGTCAATCCATTGGGACAGTATCTTTGCTCAAGACACTTCGACATCCAGTGATGAGGCAGCAGGGATTGTAAACACCAACCATCGGCCATCTCTCCCCTCCACGAGTTATCATCGGAATGGCAGACACAGGACAGCGGTCTCTCTGTACGGTCGCTCCTCTCTGTACCGGGCACGCCCTGTATGACTGAAAGGGGACTCTTGCTCTGGTTGCATATGATTAATACTTTCGATTGTCCGGAGATGCTGGAGGAAATGGATTGGAGTATCATTGATAGATCCCTATTACTTTAAAGGGCAGTGGCCGATCGCAAGTATGGCTGCACTAGTTTAAGACGGAATTACTCCTGCTGAGAGAGTAAAAGCTCAATCACTAATAACCTTGCGAGCAAAGACGTATGATCCACAATCAAACACACATACATCACAGAAGTAAGTCCTGCAGAGACACAACACACTTCTTTTACATGACTAACGACCACCACGCCTAGTAAGAACTCGCTCAGACCGTTTTTATGTCTGAAGTAGAAGCAGGTACTTTATTCACTGGCTGAGAGATCAAGAGAGAACTCACCTCTCGCCTTCCTTGGTTATATCCCAGCTCATAGAGGCAGTAAACGTTAAAGTCATTGTGCTGGTGCAATTAATGATTAGTGAGCATATTGGGGGGACAGCAAATGACACGCACAGGTGCACCCTGGCACAATCCGCGTACTGAGCTAGAGAAGCTGCTGATGTGGCAATTCCCAGCAGTTCAAATGGAATCTTTGGATTATCTGCATTTTATATATGCGATAATTAACTTGTATAGATTTGATCTCTAAATTCACACATAAGGCAAAGTTACACTTGATATAATATACTATAACAACGGGATGATACATCAATGCTCGAACCACACCAGCTCTCCTTTATACAAAATGCCGCCCACCGTAACCTAATTGAATACGGAGAGTGACTGTTTTAGGATGCCAAAGAAAGAGTGTGGGCATTAACACTTTGGCTTTCATTTATACTCCAATAACTAACAGCCCCTACTTCTACTACTCAACAATACCTATTCATCTACACATCTTACCACA